AGTCCCCCACCATGGCGAAAAAAACATTGTCCATGCCCCTCATGATTTTATAAACCTCTATAAAGGTCAGCCCTCAGCCTCCGACGCTCCAGGGAAAACAGCCCCAGCCTATTCAGCCTCTCCCTATAGCTCAAGCCCTCCAACCCTGGAAACATCCTTGTAAATCTTTTCTGAACCCTTTCAAGTTTCACAACATCCCTTCTACAGCAGGGAGACCAAAATTGCACGCAGTATTCCAGTAGTGGCCTAACCAATGTCCTGTACAGTTGCAACATGACCTCCCACCTCCTATACTCAATGCACTGACCAATGAAGGCAAGCACACCAAATGCCTTCTTCACTATCCTATCTACCTGTGACTCCACTTTCAAGGAACTATAAACCTGCACTCCAAGGTCTCTTTGTTCAGCAACACTCCCCAGGACCTTACATTAAGTGTGTAAGTCCTGCCCTGATTTACCTTTCCAAAATGCAGCACCTCACGTTTATCGAAATTAAACTCCATCTGCCACTGCTTGGCCTATTGGCCCATCTGATCAAGATCCCGTTGTACTCTAAGGTAACCTTCTTTGTTATACACTACATCTCCAATTTTGGCGTCATCTACAAACTTACTAACAATACCTCCAATGTTAACATCCAAATCATTTATATAAAATGACAGAAAGCACTGGACATAGCACTGATCCTCGTGGCACACCGCTGATCAGAGGCCTCCAGTCTGAAAAGCAACCCTCCACACCACCACCCTCTGTCTTTAACTTCAAGCCAATTCTGTTTTCAAATAGCTACTTCTCCCTGTATTCCATGTGATCTAACCTTGCTAGTCAGTCTACCATGAGGAACCTTGTAGAACACCTTACTGAAGTCCATACAAATCACATCTACGACACTGCCCTCATCAATCCTCTTTGTTACTTCGTCAAAAATCCCAAGTTCGTGACACACAATTTTCCATGCACAAAGCCATGTTGACTATTCCTAATCAGTTCTTGCCTTTCCAAGTACATGTAAATCCTGTTCCTCAGGATTCCCTCCAACAACTTACCCACCACCAACATCAGGCTCACTGGTCTATAGTTCCCTGGCTATTCCTTACCACCTTTCTCAAATACTGGTTATCTGACTCAGTAAAGCTACTTCTCTGAGTACAATAGATGGAAAGGAATATGCACAAGGAAAGCACTAATTCATCATTTTTTTTTCATTCACTCATGCCTTACCTCCAAAGTTTTATCATATTGCTTGCTGGACAGGTACAATTCAGCTGCCATGTTAACATCCTCAGCAGAAACCAGGTTCTGATGTTTGCTGAGAGCCTCTTCCATCACACCAATGGCTGATGTAATATCATTGGTCTCATAATAGCTTCTGAAAAGGAATACATTTTATGGTTTTATTTACAAATCATAAACCTAGCTCCTTTAGGATTGCAGTCAAACATTTCCTTCAACTCCAGTGAGAAAGATGTGGAAAGAGATTCTGATAGGGTCAAGATTCAGACTCATTTAAATCACAATGAAATGCATTCCTAGCACTAACCTGCAAGTTTGTGATAAGACTAAGTACATGTTATTGCTAGAAATCTTCTTCTAAATTGCTTCTTCCCAGCCTAATACAGGAAAGCTAGATTTAGGTCGGGAGCTGACAGACATGCCAGACTCAAAAATCAACTAAAGCAAGGATTAGAGGCCAGATTCTAAGCAGAGTGTGAAATCTAACAGGGTAAGTGCAGGCTTAGTCACAAGGCAATAGAGAAGAAACAGTTGACAGGAAAAGAATGTACATGATTAACAAAAGGGGATGAGATTAACATCATGCAGGAAACAGAGGAAGGATGGGAGGATAACGACTGAAGGGCCAGTAAAAGAATCAACAGCATGAAGAAAATAAGCAGTAGGAAGAAATTAGACGGTAATAGACGTCATCTGGTGATGGGGAGAGATGTGTGGACCAACGTTAAAGAGGCCAGGAAGTCAGATACCGCAGGATAAAAAAAGACAATACAGGGAGACAGTGGATGGCTTTAGGCTCTTGGATAGGCTAAACTATAGGATCTGAGGGTGCAAAGAGGCAGAACAAAAGAGGAGGACTCATAAATCAGAAGGACAAAAGTGCAATGTCATAGGTACATCAGCACCTCTAAGTTCTCCTTTGTGAACAAGGTCAGAAATCAAATTACACCAGGTTATAGTCCAACAGGTTTATTTGAAGATACAAACTTTTGGAGCGTGGCCCCTTCATCAGATGAAGTGAGAAAGAAGCACACAGAACTTATAAGTAAAAGATCAAAGGGTCACACAACTGATGAGGATGCGTGACACTTTGATCTTTTACTTATAAATTCTGTGTTTTGTGTGCTTGTTTCTCACTTCACCTGACAAAGGGGCTACACTCTGAACGCTTGCGTCTTCAAATAAACCTGTTGAATATAACCTGGTGTCATGAGATTTCTGACCTTGTCCACCCCAGTCCAACGCCAGCACCTTCACTCCTTTGTGAACTTCACTCATGAGCTGAAAACAAGTGTTATATAAAACTATACACATTCTCCTGCGTCCCCGTTCTACGAAGGTAGGTACTCAAACAAGATGATTTTCTTCTACGTTGATTTAGAAAAGCAACACAAAAATGGGTAAACTGAAAATTAATTTTTTGACATTGATTTGTTAAGATAAAAAGCTTCATAATGTTGTTCCTTAAATTAAGGGATACAGCTATCTAGAAGGACATGCTCCTCTATGAAGCATGCCTGTACTTCTCTATACAATATAGAAATTTATAATTCATAAGCAAGTAGACTTTGTGTGGTTGAACATAAAAGTATATTTTAATCAGCATATATGAAACATGTTCTCTCTAATACATAAGTTGATACACAAATGGTTTTATTTTTGTCCAACAAGTGGCAGTAACCTCACGAAAGATACGTTACCAATAGATCACAGTTACGTAACTTCAGTTTAATTGTTAATTACGTTCAGTTCAATCATTATGTAGAAAGGAATTAAGTGAATGCTGCTGCCTAGGCAGCACCTACACTAAGATCAGAAACGCAATACCAGACTCACAATGTCACTGACACATAACTACCCACTGAAATGGCCTAGCAAGCCACTCAGTTCAAGGGTAATCACAGATAGGCAACAAATGGTGACAGTAACACTCATATTGCATGAAAGAATAAAGAATCTGTGCTGCATACAAACAAATGGTGTGTTATTTTACATAAGGATCTTTTAAGTGATTTTTTTTTAAAAAGTATTGAAAGCAAAAATCTAAAAGTGAATTTCACACTGTCAGAAATACACTTACTTTTTCACATTCTCATGTAGTTTTGGTGAATGCATAAAATGGAGAAAACAGCTCATCACCACTTTCTGCTGGACAATCAGGGATGGGAAAAAAATCTTTGCCCAGCCAGCGACACCACATCCCAAGGATTGAATAAAGCAAATCAGCTGACACAATGTTTAAGCATTTATTAATCCAAGTATAAATTGTTTAGGCAGGTAGATCAGTGTGTTTTTGAGGAAAGAAAGTAAACAACAGTTGGTCTGTGAAAACTTACTTTGCCATATCTCTGGCCAACTGCATAAAATGCTCCCCATCAGTAGGCGGCAGAATGTTCAGGATGCGCCTATATCCATCCATAGCTAGTTTGTGTTCACCCAGCTGTTCATAGAGACTGCAACGTTCCCACAGGTACCGTACGTTTGTTGTGTCATATTTTATGGCTACATTTTAAAAACAAATCAGCTTTGTGTATAATAAATAATTTTTATAATTCAAGATTACACATTACAAGCACACTCCTTATGTCCACACAACTTCAATTCGTGGATTATCAATAATTAGGAATTGTGTGATAAGTTTTTAGCTTAATTTTATTCCATGTATTTTTTCCCACTTAAGTTGTCCAATAATTTTTCCAAAAGTTTAAAGAGATAAACAGACAAATGAAATATTGTAGGACTTTATGAATTCACTACAAATACTTTTGGTCAATTCCAGCAGAAATTAACTGCATTGTTTTGATGGCTGAATGGCCTACTTGTGCTCCTACAGCTTACGCTTGTCTCCATCTTTAGATTACTGTTGTATACCAACCATCCTATCATGCAACAGAGAAAAGAACTGCTAATTTTCAAGCAATTCCAGTTTCAAAAAGACAGGTTGGTAGAAGTATAAAAATGGTCAAATACAGTGCAGCAATAATTCTGCTTTCAATACGGACTAGGCCAGGATTTTCTACATTTAATAAAGCCAAATACTTCAGAAGACCTAGGATCAGAAGTCTGATTGACATTAACATTTGATTGATATCGAAAGCTAGGGTCAAAGCCAGCACCCAAAAGTAACTTGAACAAGTTGTCGGTCTGAGAAATTGCACAAGGGTTCTGGAGATGCAGCTTTCACTAAAACAACAAACAAGCAGTAAAGGTTCATCACTGACATCGGAGGTCTCAGCTGTGTAGAGGTTACATTGATTTAGAAAAATATCACTGCCTGAAACTACAGAAGAGGCCAACCTTTGGTTTTTGAGCCTGATCAGGTGAGTGTTTGATTTTTAAGACTTATAAAACTTCAATTTTTTTTTAATCTTTAATAGTGAGTAAGGTGAGGGCATTGACGTTAATACTGTGATCTGTCTCTTGATTGACTTTTAATATTAAGGATTGTTTATTAAGTTATTGTATTATTAAGTTATCACAGAGCAGTGTTTTTGAGCAGTAAGACGCTGCATTTTGATTAAAGTGTGATGTGTTTATTTTTAGGTAATTTCTGGGTCTGTAGATTGTTAAAGAGGCAGAAATGGTTTTTAGTAGGGTGATGTGCTCTTCCTGTCAGATGTGGGAGATCAGGGAGAATTTGAATGTTCCTGGAAACTATGTCTGAAGGAAATGTGTTTGGTTGCAAATCCTAACTGACTGCATGGATCGTTTGGAGCAGCAGTTAGAGGCAATGAGAAATTTACAAGAGCAAGGGGGTGTGATGAGTGGCATGTTTCAGGAAGGTGGAGACACCGCAGATACAGTCAGATAGATGGTTGACTGCTAGGAATGGTAGGAGAGGTAACCAGGTAGTGCAAGAGTCTCCTGTGTTATTCCCATCTCAAAAGGGTATGCCATGTTGGATACTGTAGGGGTTGATGAACTTTCAGGGGAATATTGCTCTGACAGCCAGGATTCTAGTACCATGATTGGCTCTACTGGAATGGAGGGCATGTCAGGTTCCAAACAATCAATTGTAATAGGGGACACTTTTGTCTGGGACACAGACAGATGTTTCTGCAGTCATCAGTGAGACATTAGTATGGTGTGTTGCCTCCCTGATGCCAGAGTCAAGGATCTCTCAGAGAGGGTGCAGAATATTCTGAGAGGGAAGAGTGATCAGCAGGAGGTTATTGTGCATGTTGGTACCAATGACATAAGGAAAGGGATGAGGTTCTGCAGAGAGAATGTAGGAAACCAGGCAGGAGGTTAAAAAGTAGGTCCTCAAGGGTTGTAATATCTGGACTACTACTGATGCCACAAGCTAGTGAAAGTAGGAAAAGGAGGACAGAGCAGAAGAATGTGTGGCTGAGGAGCTGGTGCAGGGAGCCAAGGATTCACATTTATAGACCATTGGGATCTCTTCAGGGGTAGAAATGACCTGTATAAGAAAGGCTGGTTCAACCTAAATTGGAAGGAGATCAATATCCTTGTGGGGAAATTTGCTAATTTTACTCGGGAGGCTTTAAACAGGGTGGGGGGTTGGTGGAGTGTTGGGGGGTGCAGGGACCAAAGCAATGTGAGAAAGAGAAAAGACTGAGGCTGGTAAAGTAGATAAGAGGAGCAAGTCTAATAGTAAAGGCAGGCAACCGCTTGGTAGAGAACATGGTAAGACTGATAAATTAAACTGCATTTACTTCAATGCCAGACAGGAAAAGCTGATGAACTTAAGGCATAGTTGGGAACATGGGACAGGGATATCATAGCTATTACAGAAACGTGGCTCAGGGATGGACAGGACTGGCAACTTAATGTTCTGGGGTATAGGTGCTATTAGGAAGGATAAAAAAGGAGGCAAGAGAGGAGGGGAAATGGCGTTTTTGGTTTGGGAGAACATTGCGGTTATACTTGGAGGGATATTCCTGGGAGATCTGTTGAAGTTATATGAGGGGGAACTTAAAAATAAGAAAGGGAGGATCATCTTGTTGTGGTTGTATTTCAGGCCTCCCAATAGTCAGCGGGAAATTGAGAAGCAAACGTATCAAGAAATCTTAGATATCTGTAAGAAAAATAGGGTTGTAACGATAGAAGACTTTAACTTTTCAAACATAGATTGGGACTGTCGTAGGGTTAAGGGCTCGGATGGGGAGGAATTTGTTAAGTGTGTACAAGAACATTTGCTTATCCAAAATGTAGATATACCTACTAGAGAAGGAGCCATACTTGACCTTCTGTTGGGAAATAAAGTAGGGCAAGTGACTGAGGTGTCAGTGAGGGAGCATTTTGGTGCAAGTGATCAGAATTCTTTCAGTTTTAAAATAATTATGGAAAAGGACAGAACTGATCAAAAAGTTAAAGTTCTAAACTGCAGTAAGGCCAATTTTGATGGTATTAGACAGGAACTTACAAAAGTTGACAGGGGAGGCTATTCGCAGGTAAAGGAAAGGTGGGGAAGTGGGAGGCCTTTAAAAATGAGATGAGAGTTCAAAGACAGTATGTTCCTGTTAGTGTGAAGGGCAAGGCTGGTAGGTGTAGGGAATGCTGGATGGCTAGAGAAATTGAGGCTCTGGTCAAGAAAAAGGAGGCATTCATCAGGTATAGACAACTGGGATCAAGTGAATCCCTAAGGAAAATCCAAGGAGAATCTATAAATACATTAAGAGTAAAAGAGTATCTAGGGATAAAATGGGTCCCCTTAAATATCAACATGGCCATCCACATGTGGAACCACAGGAGATGGGTGAGATACTAAACGAGTATTTTGCATCAGTATTTACTGTAGAGAAGGACATGGAAGCTAGAGAACTTGGGGAAATAAACAGTGACATATTGAAAAGTATCCAAATGACCGAAGAGGAGGTGCAGGAGGTCTTAAAACGCACAAAGGTAGATAAATGTCAGGGGCCTGATCGGGTATTTCCCAGAACTCTGTGGGAAGCAAAGGAAGTGCTTACTGGACCCCTTGCTGAGATATTTGTGTTATTGATAGCCACGGGTTAGGTGCCATAAGATTGAAGATTGGCTAACGTGGTGCCATTATTTAAGCAAGGCTGTAAGGAAAAGTTGGGGAACTATAGATCGGTGAGCCTGACGTTAGTGGTGGATAAGTTATTGAAGGGCATTCTGAGGGACTGCATTTACATGCACTTGGAAAGGCAAGGACTGCTTAGGGATAATCAGCATGGCTTTGTGTGTGGGAAATCATGTCTTACTAACTGGATGGAGTTTCTTGAAGAGGTGACCATTAAGTTTGATGAAGGCAGAGAGGTATATGTTGTCTATATGGACTTAAGTAAATCATACGACAAGGTTCCACATGGTAGACTGGGTAATAAGGTTAGATCCCATGGGATCCAGGGGAGCAAGCCAATTGGACATAAAATTGGCTTGAAGGTAGAAGACAGAGAGTGGTGGTAGAGGGATGTTTTTCAGACTGGAGGACTGTGATCAGTAGTGTGCCAGGATCAGTGCTGGGTCCACTGATTTTTGTCATTTATTGGGATTTTGATTTGACCAAAATAGGTGGTATGGTGGACAGTGAAGAAGATTATCTCAGAGTATGGCAGGACCTTGATCAGATGGGCCAATGGGCCAAGGAGAGGCAGATGGAGTTTAATTTAGATAAATGTGAGGTGTTGCATTTTGCTAAGATAAACCAGAGCAGGACTTGTACAGTAAATGATAGGGCCCTGGGGAGTGTTGCTGAACAAAGAAACCTGGGGGTGCAGGTGCATATTTCCTTGAAAGTAGAGTTGCAGGTAGACAGATTGGTGAAGAACGCGTTTGGCATGCTTGCCTTCATTCGTCATAACATTGAACCTAGGAGGTGGGATGCCATGTTGTGGTTATACGGGACATTGGTAAGAATGGTTATATGAATAGGTAAGTTTTAGATTGGGTTTCAGTCAGATTGTGATATCTGGTTGGTGCAGACAAGTTGGATTGAAGGGACAGTTTCTGTGCTGTATGAGTCTATGACTCTAGTTAAGCACATTAACATAAAAAATCTCATTTTTGAATATCCAAAATGATTACATTTTTATAACAATGGAATATTAAAGACAAAGTACTAGTTTGAATGCTGAAAATTTAGCTAACTGTACACAGTCAGCTACCGTGAAACTGTAAAACTCCTAAGCATTTTTCAACTGCAGTAATAGACATTGCATTTTACTCTACTAGCTATAACAATTGGAACCTCAGGAGGTTGAATGAAATTATCTACTTGACACTTTTAGCTGAAGAGAAATTCACATGCATCAATGTCAACTCCTACAGTCACTTGTTGAGCTTCGTGTGGTTGAAGATGAGCATATTCCTTCCCTAAGCCTTGTCCATGTCCTGGGATAAGGGATAGTTCAAGACCCTCCAACTACAGCCCTAAGGAGGGGGCTGCTGTGCTCAGCCCAGGACCTGAGGGGCGTACAGATCTGTGATTTCTGTCCTGCCTCCACAAATTGGTTGCCTGGTTGTCCATCACTAATCACAACTATAAGTGGTACAGCCACAAAGTTTTGCTCTGATCTGTTGACTGGTGCTACTCTTAACTCTACCCACGTCATAATGCCTTTGTTACCTAGCAGCCTGTGGAGTAACTACGCTGAGCCAGCGCTTCACTTTATGAACTGCCAGGTAAGATTCTGGCACTAATTTGGGACTAAAACCAAATTAAAACCTGTGACACCCATTCAAGTTAGAGTTTCTATCTAAGGGATGAATTTACAGTACCTTTTGAATAACAGAAAATAGCTTGTTTGATATTGTCTTGCTCAAGGGACATTTCAGCCAATTTCACCCACTCCTCTGGGTCACTTGGATTCAGATGAGCTGCAATTAGTCCAAACTGCAGTGATTTCTCCATATCTCCTTGATCTTCATAAATCATCGCAAGAGTGGAAAAGGGCTCATAGGCAAGAGGAGCTAGACAAAACAAAAAGTTATGAATTGTGTATCAAAAGTGAGAATGTTTTGATTAATACATGGAATTATTTCACTGTCTGTACTAAGTGGCTTATGCAGCAAACTGTTCACAATATCACAAAACGTCTTACATTCCTACTGTTTACATGAGAAAAAATGTAATCAATCTCAATGCAAATTATATTTGAAAGACCATAATAAAATAATCAGTATAGGTAACATAGACAAGAAGCGTAGGGCTGACGGATGAATGGGTCTTGGTTAAGATAGGTTACAGGCTGCAACGTTTTGGATCAGCTCTTGCACATATTGTTTAGAAAATAATAAGTTGCTCAGGACTGCATTCGAATAGTCAGGTCTAATTTTAACAAAGGCATGGATGAAGGCTTCAGTAGTCGACACAATGAACAAGAAGAAAAGTTGGTGGTGTTATGGAGGTTGAAGTGAACAGACTTAGAGTTACGGCAGATGTGGTGAGAAGCTCACTCTGGTATCAAATACATCAGCAAGGTTGTGAAAACTCTGGGTCATGCTAAACCTATTGCCTCATAGTAAAAGGGAGATGTATGGGCAGTAGTAGCAAGTGCTTGAGAAACTCAGCTCACTGAGTTTTGAATGGACTTCTCAAATGTTAATTCTGATCTCTCTCTCTCTGCGCACCTTCTCTGCAGCTGTAACACTGTATTTTGCATTCTGTTCTGTGACTCTAATGCACTTTGTATGGTATGATCTGCCTGTAGAGCATGCAAAACGGCACTTTTCACTGTATCTCCATACAAGTGACAACAATAAATCAGTTAATCAATATTAACTCTGTTTCTCTCTCCACAGAAGCTGCCAGACCTGCTGAGTTTCTCCACCACCTTCTATTTTTATTTCCAATCTCCAGCATCAACAGTACTTTGCTTTTAAGAAAAAGCAAGAACTGCTGCAGTTATACAGACCTTTGACATGAGTGCAGTTGTGCAGTTTTGGTCTCCACATTTAAAGAAAGTATAAGCTTACCTCAGAGGTGGTACTGTGGTACTGCAAAAGTTCACAACGAGATGTTCATAGGATGAAAGAGTTGTCTTAGAATAAGAGACTGACTAAATTGAAGTTACATTCTCTGAAGTTTAGAGAAATTATTGGTGATCTCATTCAAACATACAAGATTCCAAATGGGATTGACAGGATAGCGAATGACAGCATGTTTCCCCTGGCAGGGAAACCTATCACGGGGGATGAGGATGGCTGAAGACAAAAAGATCTGAAAATTTATGACCAAAGACAAAAATGTATGTTTTTTTTTGCGATAAGGAATCCAGTTGTGAATTCTGAGCTAAATCTTAAATTTTCTTCACTAAGTGTCAGTTTCACCAAGTTACACGGATGGTTGCTCCCAATGTCGAGATAGATCTCAACCAACTTCTCATACAATTCTGCCACATTTCCCAACATAACCCACATCATTCATGTCGCTATAAGATTCCACTCTCGGAGGAGCAGCGAGAAGTTGAGGTAGGGAACCTGTGGTTACAGGAAGTGAAGCCTTGGAGAAACAGAGTCTGTGATTGAACAGGAGCAGTTCTGTCTCTCCAGCGTTCACCGCTCCTTCAATCAAAGTTTAAATTTCAGTTCATGCTGTCACTGGTTGATAGCTGAACTGCAATTCTGTTACACTCCCTGTATTGCACTGGGATCAAAAGTCAGAACACACAGATGGCAGATTTCTGAGATTCCAATTTCAGAAAACTACTAAATAGTGGAAATTACCATGAGTGAATAGAAAAGGAAATTCTGAATTAATGCTTGTATATATTTTTCAAAGCGACTTCAATGAGTTTGGAGAGCTATAATTTTGCAGACGAAGGTTTGACCTTCAAACAGTGTATAAACCAAGAACTTTTGTACCTTGTCTAATGATTTCCATACACATCATCACAGCTTCTTCTCGGTCTCCTCGTGCAAACCTAATATTAGCTTCTCCCATGAGACCTCTCAAAGCTTTAGGGAGTTTACTCCGAGGACGCCTCTCCTAAAACATTTGAGGTGATGAGGGGGGAGAGAAAAATGAAAAGATTAAAGTTAAATTCCCAAGTCTTCAAAGGTAACATATCAACAAATTGAAGCTTCTACATTCTACTTATAGTTGTAACCTTTCAGCAATTTGAACATATATGGAGTCAAAGGTACAAACAGACTTTAAACACAGTCACCTCTTCACAAACCATACATTAAGAAGAATGTGGTTCACCTGCTTATCTCCTCTGAAAATACAAAAAACAAGATTTATATATTTATAACCCTCAAGCCTCCTTCTCAATAGATGCTAATCCAATCCCTAGCTAAAACGCTGAATGCCCAGGAATCAATTGTCTTCCCTGGGAGTCAATTTCCTGGGAGTTAAATATTTGCTTACTTTAAGCATATTTCTTTTAAAATAAAACATTTGTTGCTAACTTATGCCATTGCACATTGTGTACCCATCCTCCCTCATTTTGGTGGAGTAAAAAGGTTTTAGAAAAAACATGATAACAGACTTGAAAATAATTAGAGACAAATATGTTTGAAGTAAACAAATATTGTCTTGAGCTAATTTAAGTACCGTGGTCTCTAGAAAATTAATGCTTCCCTTGAGTTTGTGATTTTAATTTTAATGGAGCGGTGACACCTTTTGAGGATCCTAATGAATTCTACTAATTCTGCTTCAGTGTGAGATCCATATACCCAATACATCAACACAAATACAGCAGTTAATGTTATTACTTGAGAGCACAACGCAGTAAAAGAATTATTAAGAATGCAAAAGAAGCCCCTGAAAATCAAAATGAAGCCCTTGAGAAAATCCCAAGAGAAGCCGTTGAAAAAAGTTATTTTGACCCCTCCTCTACACCATAGTCCAGAACTGGCCTCACCGTATTGAGAATTTATTATAAATAATCTGACATTCAATAATTTTTTTGTAATGACCCAAAGATTTTGAAGTTCCTATTTTTGCTGGAATCCAAAACTCTACAAATGATGGGGCAATTTTACCAAGAAAGATCCTTAAGCAGTAATTCAAGGAACAATTTCAGATTATTGTTAAAAGTTTAGAAATTTCAAAATTTGAATGAAAGTTTCAAATCATATTATAGTATCTACTGTGTTTAAGAGTGTATTGTACATTTTTATACTCATTAGCATTATTAAACGGTCTGAAAATACTTTTTGCACTCAATTAATTTCAACGTAGCATCTTCTTTGTGCTGAGTGTTGCAATTTGCTCACCCTCTGCATTTTCTTATGTTCCCGGTGTAGCTCCATTTCCAAGGCAAAAATTTCTCCAGCAGAGAGCTGTTCACTTTGTTCCTGTTCCTCATCATCATCATCATCATCACTTACATGATCACCAAACATTGAAGCAAAAACCCTATGGACAGACTTGCTAACACCATCAGAGGTTTCCTCTGCAGAATAAATAATCGATAATTTTGTATTCATGCTTGTTTAAAAGAAGTGAAACATTCACAACTAAAGTTGAGATAAAAACAAAACAGTTAACAATTCACTTTCTATTTTATGAAATCCATCAGATTTTCAGCCTTTACATGTTTTAGGAAATGGAGTCTTTTCATTCCTTGTCATCTTCCAGTACCAGAGTTAATTAGGGATCACAAAATCATTCAAAGAAGAGTCATATTGGATTTGAAACATTAACTCTATTTTTCACTCTCCAAGAACGCTGCCAGATCTTTTTGAGTCTCCTGCATGGTCTGCCTTATGTTGTAAAATCATCTGCCATTTTGTAGTGGTAACACTATCCTAATTTACAAATGTTCCTTTTGATGCCTCCCCTGCAGCTAGAACAGACAGAAAAACCATAAATACTGGCTTAGGATAACCTTTTCCAACAGGCTGACACTTCATAACAACTGGATATTTAACAATAAAAACAGGAGTTACTGTCAAATATTTGTTACCAATGCATTATTACAAACTGCAAACAAAATCCATTTAACACAGCTGTGTGCAGTTTGTAAACTGATACAAGTATAGAACAAAACAACAGAATCCCAGACAGTGTGGAAAATAGTCCATTCGGCCTATCAAGTTCACACCAACCATCCAAAAAGCATCCCACCCAGACCCATCCTATTCCTGTAACCCTGAATTCCCCATAGCTAATCCACTCAGCCTGCACGTCCCTGGATGTATGTTTTCTTCAATTATGATGTGGAGGTGCCGGTGTTGGACTGGGGTGGACAACGTCAAAAGTCACTCAACACCAGGTTATAGTCCAACAGGTTTATTTAAAATCACAAGCTTTCGAAGCGCTGCCCCTTCATCAAGTGAACTGAAGAAAAGCATACAAGCACAGAATTTATAGACAGAGAGATCAATGGGCAGAGAGATCAAAAGATCATACAAATGCTGTGAGTGGAGCATCCACAAGCTGAATAATAAGTCTCTGCAGGTGATCAAAAGTTTCGGACAGTGTGAGTAAAGTGTCAACAGCTGAGTAGTAAGTGAAGGGGATGACCTATAATCCAATTATTTGAGACAGAAAAAGAATTACAAAAAAATTAAAGTAAGGTGATGCTGGAGACAAACCAAATGTCTGGAACAACATGATAGGTATAAGAGTCACATGCCGAGTGTCTAACCAAATTAACAAGTAATCCAAAACTGTACAAACTAATTAAGGCAGAGAGATCATAACAAGTTATGAAGGTGATGGTGTTAAAACAAGACAATAAAGGAAGATTTTACAAACACAGAACAGTATGGTGCGGTTACATATAGCACGACATGAACCCAGGATCATGGTTGAGGCCGTTTTCATGGGTATAGAACTTGGCTCTCAGTTTCTGCTCAATAATTCTACATTGTGTATCTCGAAGGCCGCCTTGGAGGACGCTATGACAACAAATGAATGGACACCGCGCAACAATCGCCAGACAAGAACGTTCCCTCCCAGTCGGGAACACTTCATCGGTCAAGGACACCGCGCAACAATCGCCAGACAAGAACGTTCCCTCCCAGTCGGGAACACTTCATCGGTCAAGGACATTCAGCCTCCGATCTTCAGTTAAGCATCCCCCAAGGTGGCCTTTGAGATACACAACAACTCAGAATTGCTGAGCAGAAACTGAGAGCCAAGTTCTATAGCCATGAAGATGACCTCAACCATGATCTTGAGTTCATGTCGCGCTACATGTAACCACACCATACTGTTCCGTATTTGTAAAATCTTTACTGTCTACTTTAACACCATCACCTTGATAAATTGTTACGATCTCTCTACCTTAATTAGTTTGTACAGTTTTGGATTACTTGTTACTTTGGTTAGACACTCAGCATGTGACTCTTATACCTATCGTGTTGTTCTAGCCATTTGGTTTGTCTCCAGCACCATCTTATTTTTAAAATTTTTGTAATTATCTCTCTGCCTCTATTAACTCGATTATAGGTCATCCCCTTCACTTACTACTTAGCTGTTGACACTTTATTCACACCATCTGACACTTTCGATCACCTGCAGAGACTTATTCAGTCTATTGACACTCCACTCACAGCATTTGTATGACCTTTTAATCTCTCTGCCCATTGATCTCTCTGTCTATAAATTCTGCATCTATATGCTTTTTTTCACTTCACCTGACAAAGGGGCAGCGCTTTGAAAGCTTGCAATTTCAAATAAACCTGTTGGACTATAACCTGGTGTTGTGTGACTTCTGACCTTATTTAATTGTGACTTCCGATTTCTAGAAGTAATACAGGTTCTGCCACTAAATATTTGCATCTTTCCCTCTCTGATAGAACAGCTTACAGGTGTTATGTTCCCAGGTACAAAGGAAACAAATATATCTAACAAAAAAAAAATTCTGCCAGATGTTTCTACACCAAAATAACATTTTCAATGCAAACTGGGGCAGTGAAGTGGAGTAGCTCAAAGTACATTTAAGCACAGTATCTATTAACACCAGTCTAAACCACTTGTTTTCAATTTTGATTGGATTCATCAGGATTGCTGAGGGAAGTTCGGATGGAAATACCATAACCTTTCAACTCTCCTTGGATATGGGAGTACTGCAGAATATTGGAGAATTGCAACTGTTACAGATCTATTCTAAACAAGAAGTATAAATCCAGGTGACTACAGATTATCAGTCTAATGTCAGTAACAGAACTGATCGTTGTCAAAATTAATTCTCACTTAGGGCATCACAATTAATTAAAGCCAAGTTGCCATAGTCCCAGAGGATCCTAGGGCTGCTAGAAGATGACTCATGTTGAGTTCAATGTAAGGGTCACCACGCCTGATGCATGGGCTGAGGTTAAGAAAGTGGGACCTTCATGGAGTCCTCAGCTGGTACAGGAATTAAACCCAAGCTGTTAGCATCACTCCTCATTACAAATCAGCCATCCAGCCATCTGAGCTGTGTAGTAAGGAACAAACCTCAGATACAATAAAGATCAGTCATGTCTGACTAAAGTGATTGAATACTTCAATGAAGTAACAGAGAGAGTTGATGAAGGTAATCCAATGGATATAAATGGTCTTTCAAAACACATTTGTTAATACCACATGAAAGAATTCTTCAGAAGATAAAGCATGTGTTATTAAAGGAATGTAATTGGCTAAGGGACAGGCGGCAGAAAATAGAGGTGAACGGATATCCCGTTACCTGGGGAAAGATATGCAGTGGCATTCCCAGAAGTTCATATTGGGATATTTGGATGTCTTTACACAGAAATGATATGGATTTGGTTATAGGAAATACAATTTCTTACTTCATAGCCGATACAAAAATTTGGCAATCTAGTAAATAGAAAGCAGGAACGTGGCAAGTTTCAAAAAAACAGATAGAATACTGAAATAAGTGGACATATCGAAAATGCAATTTAAAACAAGTATATACGGAGTGTATACTTGGAAAGAAACAACTTGGAGAAGTAATATATTCGAAATGGTATTATGTAGAGAGAGGTGCAAAAGCAGAGGAATCTGGACATTTATTTTCATTAGTCTTTAAAGGTGGCAAGGCAGTTGCTAAGATGGTTAGGAAAACATTTTGGACACATAACTTTATAAATTGGGTATTGAATACTGGGGATTTATGGAATTTATAGGTATTTTTGTATGGAATATTTGAGGTTTCAGTTATATAGACAAACTGGACAAGTTAGTTCTTTTTTCCTGTTTGGATCATAGAAGGTTATAGGAAGACCTAACACACGCATTCAAAATTAGAAACGATTCTGATAATGCAAGTAGAGAGAAACCATTCCCTCTGACAAATGTGTCAATAATGAGAGGTCAAAGATTTTTAAACAATAACAAAAGAAGGGAAAGAAAGAAAAACTATTTCACACCAACAGTTGTTACGATTTGGAACACATTATCTGAAAGAGTGATGAAATCAAATTCGTAGCAATTTCAAAAGGCAAGCAGGCAAGTATTTAAATAGAATTAACTTTCAGGGTTAATGGGAAAAATGCAGGCTGTAAGCTCTTTCAAACAATTGGGATGACAGCGATTAAATATGTGATCTCCTTTTGTGCTGCAAGGCTTTACGATGAGTTAGATGTAAAAAAATTACATTAGGTCTGAACAAGACAAAAGGTGGTAAGTTCAAACAAACACACCATAATAAAAGATACACAATATAAAGTGGAGGAAACCAAAAGAACTGCAGATGCT